TTTTTTGAGACAAAGTCTTGCTCTGTCACCCAGGCTGGAGTGCAGTGGCACAAACTTGGCTCACTGCAACCTCCACCTCCCATATTCAAGTGATTCTCCTGCCTTAGCCTCCTGAGTAGCTGGGATTACAGGCATCTGCCGCCATGCCCGACTAATTTTGTATTTTTTGTAGAGATGGGGTTTCACCATGTTGGCCATGCTGGTCTCAAACTCCTGACCTCAGATTGTCCACCTGCCTTGGCCTCCCAAAGTGCTGGGATTACAGGCGTGAGCCACTGTGCCTGGCATACTTTGGATTTTTTAAGGGAAAGAGGGAAAGGGAATCAGCTGGAGGCGGAACCAGTAATGGCAATACCTGTAGGGACAATTAATCCATAATTGTAAACCATGAATCTACACTCACATCAGTTCTTTTCTTTCAAAATATCTGCATTTCTGGATTAGTTGTATAGGTCATAGTGCAGTGCAATGTTTAATACACTAATTAGGACGAAGTAATTCACATTGATCTTCCTAGCACACTACTGCTGAGCACTGTTATTCCTACTCTTGTCTGAGAGAAAATGTGGGGTTTATTTATGTTCTCTTTAGATTATGAGCTTTTAATATTAAAATGATTTAATGGACCTTTCCTGAATTCTGAATTACTTTGTAGCTATGGCCATGCCCTGTTACCTGGTGAAGGTGCAGCTATGGCTGAATATGTAAAAGCTGGAAAACGTATCCCACGAAGAGGTGAAATTGGCTTGACAAGTGAAGAAATTGCATCATTTGAATGCTCAGGTTATGTAATGAGCGGTAGCAGGTATGTTCTTGGCATTAAGCTCAGTTTCCATGATTAGATCTTTTTCTTCTTTTTTACTGCCAGAATTATATTTTGGTAATTGATTTTTATTAAGTGACTGTTTCTTATGAAAAGTAGAGTATAAATATTGGTTTGATATTAATTTTGTTGGTATAACATGGTTTTCTGAAATTCCAAGTATATATGCAACTCAGCCTCAAACTCAGCTATAGCTCTGACTTCAAAGAATCAATCTTGGCCAGGCGTGGTGGCTCACGCCTATAATCCAAGCACTTTGGAGGCCAAGGCGGGCGGATCACCTGAGGTTGGGAGTTCAAAAACAACCAAAAAAAAAAGGAAAAAACCCCATTTTTAATTTAAAAAAAAAAAAAAAGAAAAGAAAAAGAAGAATCAATCTTTCCACTGTCCTTTCCTAGTTGATATTTAGGTACAGATATTTTATCCACTGGAGGATGTAGTTAAATTCAGCTATTTATCACTGCTGCATGAGGAATGTGGTAATTAGAAAAATATTTTCACAGACAGTGTTTCCTAGTTACGAGTTTGTCTCCAGTTATTTATGGACCCAGATTTCTGAGATTAAATAACAGAAAAAGATGATAAAAGACATTGGTCAGCTGAGAACATGTTCTGGCTAATAAATAAATAAATCTTTAAAAGACATTAGATTCAGCATGAGAAAAGGAATATAAAATTAGAAAAGCAAAAAGTGCCAGGAGAACCAGGAGAATGAGCTAATAGGGTGGCAGTACTTAGATCAAATTGAATTTTGGATTCTTTAAAACTTGATAAACTTTTTAAAGTAGATAACTATTTTTAAATGACATTGAAGGCAAATATTTGCAGAAATCCTAAAGCACCTCCAGAATCTTGGAATTCTGAGGACCAATATTTGAAGCATTGCATTGGAGGACCCACACAGTAAGGCAAGAAAAAGAAATTAGAGGCATAAGGGTTGCAAAGGAAGGCTGGGCATGGTGTCTCACGCCTGTAATCCCAGTGCTTTGGGAGGCCAAGGCAGGTGGATCGCTTGAGCCCAGGAGTTGGACTAGCCTGGGCAACATGGCGAAACCCCGTCTCTACCAAAAACACAAATATTAGCCAGTTGTGGTGGTACGTGCCTGTAATCCCAGCTACTTGGGAGGCTGAGGCAGAAGAATCGCTTGAACCCAGGAGGCGGAGGTTGTAATGAGCCGAGATTGCAACTCTGCATTCTAGCCTGGGTGACAGAGCAAGACTCAGCCTGAAAACAATAATAATAAGGATTGGAAAGGATGATATAACAGTGTCATTTTTGTGAATGACATTGTGAATGATTTGATTGTTTACATAGAAAATCCCAAAGAATCTTCAGATGAATTATAAATAAGAGAAGGGTTTAACAAATTCTTGGATATAAGGTTAATACACAAAAATCCATTGCATTTCTACTTATCAGCAACAGACAACTAGGAAATGTAACTAAGAAGAAAACAACATTTATAACAGTGTCAGAGAATATGAAGGACTTAAGAATAAATCTTAGCAAAAGATGCCCATGGCTCTGTAGGAAAAACTATAAAACATTATTAAGAGATTGTATATTCAATACAATTCCATTAAAAATGAAATGCATTTCTATTTAACAACAGAAACTAGAAAGTGCCACTAAATAAGAAGAAAACATTTATAATAGTGTCAGAATATGAAGGACTTAAGAATAAATCTTAACAAAAGATGCCCAAGGTTCTGTGGGGGAAAATGTAAAACATTAATAGTCTGTATATTCAATACAGTTCCAATCAAAATCACAACACAGTTTTTCATGAAACTTACTAAGCTGGTTCTAAAATTTGTATGTTAGACTAAAAGGACAAGAAGAGCTAGGTCCCTTCTGAAGAAGAAGAGCAAGAAGGTAAGATTAAAGAAAACTTAAATAACTGGAGAGATACAGGTTCATGGATAGGAAGGCAATATTGTAAAGCTGTCAGTTCTTCCCAAACTGATCTGTATATTCAATACAGTTCCAATCAAAATCACAGCACAGTTTTTCATTAAACATAATAAGCCAGTTCTAAAATTTATATGTTAGACTAAAAGGACAAGAATAGCCAAGTCACTCCTGCAGAAGAAAAGCAAGAAGGTAAGATTTGCCCTACGAGATAGGAGGACCTATGATGAAGCTTACAGCACTTTAGAGAGCATGGGAGAACAGCTGAATAGTTCAGTGGAATAAAAGTCAGGCCAGGCATAGTGGCTTGCACCTGTAATCCCAACACTTTGGGCAGCTCAGGCGGGCGGATCACCTGAGGTAGAGAGTTGAAGACCAGCCTGGCCAACATGATGAAACCCCATCTCTACTAAAAATACAAAAATTATCCAGGCATGGTGGTGGGCACCTGTAATCCCAGCTACTTGGGAGGCTAAGGCAGGAGAATCCCTTGAACCCAGGAGATGGAGATTGCAATGAACCGAGACCTCGCCATTGCACTCTAGCCTGGGCAACAAGAATGCAACTCTGTCTCAAAAAATATACAAATAAAAATAAAATTCAGAGCCCAAAGACAGCCATACATGTATGGAACTTCAGTGTATGAAAGAGCATGTTGGATCAATGGGGAAAGAAAGAACCATTCATTAAGTGAAGTAGGAAAGAAATGGTTATTCATATGGAAAAAGATGAAAGTAGGACCCTGTATCACCAAATATAAAAAGCAATGCAGCTTCCATACTCAGAGCCAACAATAAAAAAATTTTTTTTTTTTTTTAAATCAATACAGCAGTTGGGCGCGGTGGCCCAGGCCCGTACTCCGAGCACTTTGGGAGGCCAAGGCAGGTGATTCATTTGAGGCCAGGAGTTCAAGGCCAGCCTGGTCAACATGGCGAAACCCCATCTCTACTAAAAATATAAAAAGGAGCCAGGTGTGGTGGCGAGGCCTATAATCCCAGCTACTCAGGAGGCTGAGGCAGGAGAATCAGTTGAACCTGGGAGGTGGAGGTTGCAATAAATCAAGATTGCACCACTGCACACTCCAGCCTGAGTGACAGAGGGAGACTTGGAAGTTAAATCCACTGACCAAAAACTGCTCTTCATTTATAGATTTTAGACTTGGTGTTTTTTTTTTTGTTTTTTTTTTTTTTTTTTTTTGTTTTTTTTTTTTTTTTTTTTTTTTTTTTTTTTGAGGTGGAGTTTCACTCTTGTCTCCCAGGCTGTAGTACAATAGCACCATCTCTGCTCACTGCAACTTCCGCCTCCTGGATTCAAGTGATTCTCCTGCTGCAGCCTCCTGTGTAGCTGGGATTACAGGCGCCTGCCACCAAGCCCAGCTAATTTTTGTATTTTTAGTAGAGACGGGTTTTCACCACATTGGCCAGGCTAGTCTTAAACTCCTGACGTCAGGCGATCTACCCACCTCAGCCTCCCAAAGTGCCGGGATTACAGGTGTGAGCCACCATGCCCAGCCTAGACTTGATTCTTTTGGTTGTATGGTAAATTAGAACCTTGAAGGAAGTTCCACCTGATTAATGACAGCATAAATCTTTTATCTATCCTACTATCAATTCCACAAAGGCAAATGGATATATCACCTAGGAAGTTTAATAATTTGCCCATTTCTAGTTGCTTTACTGGAAAGAAATTAGGCATATAACCTCTGTATTAGAAATTTTTTTTTTTTTAGATGGAGTTTCACTCTTGTTGCCCAGGCTGGAGTGCAATGGCACAATCTTGGCTCATCGCCACCTCTGCCTCCCAGGTTCAGGCAATTCTGCCTCAACCTCCTGAGTAGCTGGGATTACAGGCATGTGCTACCACGCCCAGCTAATTTTGTATTTTTAGTAGAGACGAGGTTTCTCCATGTTGGTCAAGCTGGTCTTGAACTAATGACCTCAGGTGATCCGTCCTCCTCAGCCTCCCAAAGTGGTGGGATTACAGGCATGGGCCACCGTGTCCGGCCAGTATTTGAAATTAATGATAGCAGCCAGGCGCGATGGCTCACACCTGTAATCCCAGGACTTTGGGAGGCCAGGGCAGGTGGATCACTTAAGATCAGGAGTTCGAGGCCAGCCTGGCCAACATGGCAAAACCCTATCTCTACTAAAAATACAAAAATTAGCTGGGCCTGCTAGTAGCCGCCTGTAATCCTAGCTACTCAGGAAGGAGGCTGAGGTGGGGGAATCACTTGAGCCCAGGAGGCGAAGGTTGCAGTAAGCCGAGATCATGCCACCCCAGTCCAGCCTGGGGAACAGAGGAAGACTCCGTCTCAAAAAAAAAAAAAAAAAGGGACGTGTCAGGCAGCTAAAATATTAATAAGTGATCTTTTGGAAACTTAACCCGTTTCAAAAAAATAGTTTTTATTTGTCAGGTCTTACATAGGCCACTCTGTATTAAGAAAGGATTAATGAGGATATACTATAAAAATAATTACTGAGAAATTAAGCCAAAAATAAAATTCTCTCCAGGCATCGCCGAATGGAGGCTGTGCGACTACGGAAAGAAAACCAGATCTATAGTGCTGATGAGAAGAGAGCCCTTGCATCCTTTAACCAAGAAGAGAGACGAAAGAGAGAGAACAAGATTCTGGCCAGTTTTCGAGAAATGGTTTACAGAAAGACCAAAGGGAAAGATGACAAATAAGGATTTTCTGATTGTCCAGAGACATTTTTAACAACAAAAACGAAAGTCTGAGCTCCACACGTGCATACAAAAAGATTGTCATGCTCTGAGAAAGCTTTACATTGCTACTGTGCCTTCTATTTAATTCTTTCAGTCTTTAAGTAAAAAGCTGCTTATTGATAGAACTTTAACAAGTTCTTTGGGTTATTTTGGATTGACCATAATAACTTTCTGGTTTAAAAATCCAAATTATGAACTGGGTGCGGTGGCTAACACCTATTAATCCCAGCACTTTGAGAGGCTGAGGTGGGTGGATCACCTGAGGTCAGGAGTTTAAGACCAGCCTGGCCAACATGGTGAAACCCTATCTCTACCCAAAAAAATACAAAAATTCGCCAGGCATGGTTGTGGGCGCCTGTAATCCCAGCTACTTGGGAGGCTAAGGCAGGAGAATGGCTTGAATCCTGGAGGCAGAGGTTGCAGTGAGCCGAGATCGTGCCACTGCACTCCAGCCTGGGTGACAAGAGCGAAACTCCATCTAAAAAAAAAAAAAAAAAAAAAAAAATCCAAATTATGAGTAAAATTCTGTATTGGAGGAGGTGGCATGGACAAAAAGTGTTAGTGAGATGAGAAACTTCAGTCTCACACCATGAGACACTGCTACTATTAGCTATATGTGATGCCTGCCCCACCCCCACCTCTACCCCAACTGAACTTTTGGGAAATTACCACTCCTCTGTGTTGAATGTGTTATAAATGGACTTCATAGAAACATATAGGAGGCCACTTTTGTTAACAAAATGAAGGCATTGCTGCAAAAAGCAAATCTGGAATTTGAAAACTGACTTGTATACTACAATATGTGATCTGGCCTGAAAATAATAAGATTTAAAGTCCCTACCTCCACTGTAAAACCAACAAACACACCAAAAAGCAAACTAACTCACAGACTTGTTGAATTGAAGTGTGAACATTAGCTTTTTTAAATTCTTAATAAGTTACTTAAAAATGGTTCTTTCAAATATAAAGTCTTGAGAAGTCTACTCTTATGCCCATTTAAGTACTTTATTTCAACCTGAGCTGATCTGAGTTTGAGGATAGGATAACATCAAAAAGAATAGGAGTCAGCTATGGTCAAGAGTTCTGATAAGGAAAAATATAATGCGTCAGTGTTTTAGCTTAACTGTTTTATAAGGATAAAACTAAAACAATATTAAATATTTTTAACTGTGTTTTATGTACTAAGCAGATTTCATTTTAAACATTGTTAAATCTTTCTGTTTATTTTTTATTTTTTGCATCTGTCATCAGTTTAATCCTTAATGTATAGAACCTCCTTACTTTATTAGTTTTAAGTTGGGAAGAAATGGAAAGCTGTGGGACTATGATTTCATGATCTCTTTCCTTGGCTTATTTTGTTCAGTTTTAATTAGATCAGAAGAGTGAATGGGGGAGGGAACCCTGGAAGTTTTGGCTGTCTTTGTTAAGGTTGGTTTTCTGTTTTTTTTGTTTTTTGAGACAGAGTCTCACTCTGTCACTGAGGCTAGAGTGCAGTGGTGCAATCTCAGCTCTCTGCAACCTCTGCCTCCTGGGTTCAAGTGATCCTCCCACCTCAGCCTCCCGAGTAGCTGGGATTACAGGCACTCACCACCACGCCTGGCTGATTTTTGTATTTTCAGCAGAGATGGGGTTTTGCCATCTTGGCCAGGCTGGTCTCAATCTCCTGACTTCAAGTGATCTGCCTACCTCAGCCTCCCAAAATGCTGGGATTACAGGTGTGAGCTGCCATGACTGGCCATTTTTGTTAAGGTTGTTTGATCTGCATTATTATTACATGCCTATGGTAAATTTAAATTACTTGGGTGATAAGGAAATTCTGATTATACTATTATAAAATGCCCTCTTGCCTTATATTTTTAAGTGGTTGTTTTTCAAGTGTTTAAATAAGGCAGTCATATTTCAAAGTATAGAGTAAAAGTTGTATTGTTATTATTATTTTTGAGACAAGGTCTCCCTCTGTCACCCAGGCTAGAGTGCAGTGGTGCAATCTTGGCTCATTGCAGCCTCTGTCTCCCCAACTCAAGTCATCCTCCACCTCAGCCTCCCGAGCAGCTGGGACTACCAGCGCACACCACCGTGCCCGGCTAATTTTTTTTTATTTTTAGTAGAGAAAAGGTTTCACCTTGTTGCCCAGGCTGGTCCTGAACTCTTGATCTCAAGCATTCCGCCTGCCTCAGCCTCCCAAAGTGCTGGGATTATAGGCATGAGTCACCACACCCAGCCAAAAGTTTTATTATTAAATGGTATTAACAGTTTTAAATACTATTAAATATATGTTCCAGGAAATGTCTACTTTTAACCTACAACTACTGAACTAAAGAGTCAGCATGTAGCGACATTTTTGACCCCTGAATTTGAAATGATTTCTGTTTATTTATACCTAATCACAGTTGCTGCCTAGCCTAATAAATCTATAATTTCCAAAAGTTAAAAAGAAACTAGTTCCCAGAGTTTTGAGTCTCAATCCATCTACTTCCCTGTATAATAAAACCTGAATTTTATAATACCCACTTATAAATTTTATTCTCGGCCGGACGTGGTGGCTCACACTTGTAATCCCAGCACTTTGGGAGGCCAAGGCAGGTGGATTACAAGGTCAGGTGTTTGAGACCAGCCTGGCAAACATAGTGAAACCCCGTTTCTACTAAAAATACAAAAAATTGACTGGGCATGGTGGCTCACGCCTGTAATCCTAGCACTTTGGGAGGCCGAGGTGGGTGGATCACCTGAGGTCAGGAGTTCAAGACCAGCCTGGCCATCATGGTGAAACCCCATCTTTAAAAAAAAAAAAAAAATTAGCTGCACATGGTGCAGGCGCCTATAATCCCAGCTACCCAGGAGGCTGAGGCAGGAGAATTGCTTGAATAATCCCAGCTACTCAGGAGGCTGAGACGGGAGGCCAAGGTTGCAGTGAGCTGAAATCATGCCACTGCACTCCAACCCCAGGCGACAGTGTGAGACTCTGTCTCAAAAAAAAAAAAAAACCTATTCTCTTTGTTTTTTTCTTGGTTACATTCCTAGAGATGGAATGATTATGTTCTCTCATTTTCAGTAGGCAAGGTAGTTTAAATGCAGAAATTTTGTGATGTTTGAATATTGTGATATCAAGAACAGCTTCAATGGCATATTCTTTGGGAAAGAAGCAGGAAGAATAAAAGGGCTAAATGTATTTTATTTTCAGCTCATGATTGTTGTTACTGCTTCAAATTGTGTTTAGTCACCTGAGCCATAAGTCAGTTGTAGGGCTATTGTATTTTAAATATATTTTTTGTTCTCCAAGGAGACTTACCTAGTTTACCACCTCCTTGCCCATTGCTCTGATAGGGTTTTCCCTCCTTTTTTATTTATTGTACAAATATAGCAGTAAAAGAAAAGAAAAATTTCAGTACTGTGTCAGTTGTCTTTCATATTTTGTGTTCCTCCTTTCCAGTGCTTTTCTATGTAAATAAATATTGTGATGTACTTGTAAGTCATCACTCAGAGCATAATGTAATTTTGTCTTTGGTGTCTTAAAATTTTGCAGCCAGGCAAGAGAGGTTTATAGGGAAGGTAGGAACAAGTGACTATTTGGTGTGAGGATGGGAAGACGATCAGAGATAAGTAAGGGCGATGATTGAATCCATCCCGTGTCATTGTCCCTAGTCCTCAAGCCACCCTCCTGCCATCATGAGTATAGTGGTGTATTATGGAAGGCAGCATGCCTGGTTTTCCAGTTTCAAAATACATTATTTAGCAGTGAGGCTTAACTCACAGTAAACGAAGGGGTCTGTGAGTAGGGGAACCCTTCAGACTGGTTATATTATGAGCTGTAGAACTGTTGCCATTTTGTTGTTCCCAGTTGTGCCCATAAGAGATGTGTCTGAGCTGGAGACTTAGGCTCAGATGGGAAACAGCCAAGTACCGGTCTTAGTTTGGTCCGATAGGTGAATTTTAGCAACTCTCTAAACGCAGCTGTATACCTGTAAGTCTCAGAAGTGATGCATACAGTGATGGGAAAAAGTATTTTAGAAAACAGCTTACTGCTGATGTGATGGAGGTTGCAGAATGGAAAATGAATGCAAAAAAATACAGCTGGATTGTATGCCACAAGTTTATTAATAAATATTATGTGGTTTGATGTGCTGTATTGTCTTCTTAATATAACCTGATTAGAAAAACAATCCTAAGACATTCTGTAAGAATCAGACACGATCAAATATGGAGGGGAATGCCGCCATGAAATCATATTTGGCATCAGTAAGGTTCTTCTGCCAGTGTTCTCGAAAGCAAACCATTCCTGGTCTACAGAGGAAGAAAAACAAACACTTTTAAAGTATTTTTAAATCAAAAGCTTTTCAAATCAAACAAAGGGGATTCTTATTTACTCTTTTATATTCCTAGTAAGCAAGAAGCCTCTTTTATTGGTGGAGAGGGGAGGTAGCTAGGGTTTTCTCTATCTATCCTTTACGTTTCTTAAGCCCAGTCAATGAAAATTAATGAGCTTATATGTAAAGATACTTTTAAGAGAGCTGCTATAAAAGGGATTATTAAACATAAGTTAATTTTATGTGATATTGAAGTTTTCCATAGAAACAAAAGACATGACCCACTTTGTCCCTACCCTACCCCAGCAACTAATCTTCAAGCTTATAATGACTGAAAAACCAGACACTAAGAAAAACAATTTCATTAGAATGGGCTGAAATTTTTCCAGAAAATTGTTTTTCTTAGTGTCTGGGGTTGGTGGTCCAAAAAAGAAAAGTGACCATTATATGAAATATCTGTGGCTGTGCAACTGCTGGATTCCTGGTGTGTGATAACCTCTCTCCCACTCTTTTAAAACAAACCTCCAAATGTTCATTACCTGTGAACTAATTCTTGTTCTTCACCTACAAAAAAAACACCAATGGGTGCATCCTAAGAAAGAGAAGGACAATTGTTAGCCCAGACCAGTCATAACTCTTTGTTTTTTTGAGATGGAGTCTTGCTGTCTCCCAGGCTGAAGTGCAGTGGTGTGATTCCAGCTCACTGCAACCTCCACCTCCTGGGTTCAAGTGATTCTCCTGCCTCAGCCTCCCAAGTGGCTAGGATCACAGACACCCGCCACCATACACAGCTAATTTTTGTATTTTTAGTAGAAACAGTGTTTTACCTTGTAGCCCAGGCTGGTCTCAAACTCCTGACCTCAAGTGATCCACCTGCCTTGGCCTCCCAAAGTGCTGGGATTACAGGCATGAGCCACCATGCCCGGCCCAATCTTCCCTACACTTGCCCATATGCATACTCTTGAATTTCTAGAATTCATTTTGCTTATGAACTGGGAATCGGTAGGTGATAGTTTGTTTTTTGTTTTTAATTTCTTTGGGTGACCTTAACCTGGAGAGTGATAGTTTTTTCATCACTTTAAACCTCTGTTCCCCAAAGATCTTTTTGACAACAAATATCTTAAGAATCTTCAAAAAATTGGAAATAAGTTGGGACAGGCTTATGCTCCTCATTAATAGGAGTGTAAGTCATTAACCTTCTTTACATGCTCCTGTTTACTCAACTGACAATTTCTACCTCTTAGGAACAGCATGAGAATGAATTAATATAGATGAAAAGATTTGAAACATTTTTAAAGCAGCATAAACATGTAGGTTGTAATATTGTCTCAGTAGTCCGTCTCCATCCTTGCCTCCAAAATTATACCTGGCATTTTGAGCAGGAGCCACTCTCCCAAGACCTCTCTCTGTGTGGTCTCTGGTGTAGTTGTGTTCACCTCTACCAAACTTACTTCCTGATCTCTGACCTGCAGTTAGCAAGACAGCTGGCAGAAGGATATATGACCAGGAGAAGTAAAATCTCCACATACTGCAGGTTCCAAATTTTTTGATTACTCCAGTTTCCAAACTCTCTGAATAGACATATTTGTACTAGGACAGGATGAATATAGGAAATAGATGGCTCACTGACTGTGTGGTCATATATAAAGCCTCAGCACCAGGCCAAGGTACAAATAACTTTCAGGAAAGGATGGGAAGGCAAAGAGGAAATAAAATGTTTATATGTCTGTTGTGTTTCAGGCATTATGCTTGGTGCCAGCCCTGCTCTTCTGAGGACCCCTCCCCTAGATTCATGAATGTTATTTTGACTCTTTTCACAACAACTATCAAGTTAACATATTTCTTATTCATGTGGATACCAGTAATCATTCCTTCAAGCATGTATTGAGTGCCTACTATTTGCCAGGCCTTGTTTTACAGCAAGACAAAAATCCCTGCCTTAGTGGAGCCTACATTCTGGTGGAGGGAGCAGACAATAATAAAACAATTATAGGGCCAAGAGTGGTGGCTCATGCCTGCAATCCCAGCACTTTGGGAGGCTGAGGTGGGCAGATCACCTGAGGTCAGAAGTTCGAGACCAGCCTGGCCAACATGGTGAAACCCCATGTCTACTAAAAATACAAAAATTAGCTGGCTGTGGTGGCATGTGCCTTGTAGTCCCAGCTACCCAGGAGACTGAGGCAGGAGAATCACTTGAACATGGGAGGCAGAGGTTGGAGGGAGCCAAGATCATGCTACTGCACTCCAGCCTAGGAGACAGGGCAAGACTCCATCTAAAAAACAAAATTATATAGAATATTAGAAGGGAAGGTGGTAAGTGCTATGGAGAAAAAGCATAGGAACGTGAGTGAAAAAGGTGGTGAGGGAGCAGACAGTTCACATGGCTAGGGGAAAGTGTTCTAGTCAAAAGAAACAGCAAGCGCAAAGGCCCTGAGGCAGGACTATACCTGACTTATTTGAGGAGAAGCAAGCTGAGAATGGCCAGAGCACGTGGAAGGGAAGGAGTAGTGGGAAAGCATAAATAACAAGGAACCAGATCATACAAGGCCTTGTAGGCCCTTACTACTCAAAGGTAGTCTCTGGACCCACAGCCTCAGCATGGCCTGCGAGCTTGTTAATAATGCAGAATCTCAGGCCCTATCCCAGACCTGCTAAATCAGAATCTTCATTTTAGCAAGATCCCCAAGTAATTTGTATGCACTTTTTCTTTTCTGTGTTTTGTTTTGTTTTGTTTTGTTTTGTTTTGTTTTGTTTTGAGACAGTCTTATTCTGTTGCCCAAGCTGGAGTACAATGGCGCAGTCTTAGCTCACTGCAACCTCTGTCTCCTGGGTTCAAGCCATTCTCCTGCCTCAACCTCCCAAGCAGCTGGGACTACAGGTATGCACCACCATGCCCAGCTAATTTTTGTATTTTTAGTAGAGATGGGGTTTCACCATATCGGCCAGGCTGGCCTTGAACTCCTGACCTCAGGTGATCCGCCCGCCTTGGCCTCCCAAAGTGCTGGGATTACAGGCATGAGCCTCCACGCCCACCAGCACTTTAAATTTCAAAAAGCACTTTTGGAAAGTTTTAAACAGAGGAATTGGCCAGGCATGGTGACTCATGCCTGTAATCCCAGCACTTTGGGAGGCTGAGGCGGGTGGATCACCTGAGGTCAGGAGTTCAAGACCAGTCTGTGCAACAT